GAAATTGAATGCATGCAAAGAACATAAAATTATCAAATATATAAGATTTCGTACTTCCTTGTAGTATTCTAGAATATAGTACGAAACATAATGTGATAATGTTTGAATAAAAGAAGAGTGATATTACTTGAGTAGTTATTAATATTGTAATAACATGCTAAATAACAATGATATCGTATTACAATAACGAAACCGTGCAATCATTAATAATTATAATCAATAGTAATATTTCGATATAATAATTCGCAATGTGACGCAGTGAAATAAGAATTAAGTGAATAAAATATTAACTATCAATAATAATAATGAGGAAGTAGGAAATGATGAATTATATCACTGAAGATGTATATGTATATATATATATATTAGAACAAAATATAATTGTACATAAGACAAATGAGTATAGGAAATTGAATATATGGGTATATATATATATATATGTATGTTTATTGCGAGATAGAACTTGATAATAAGCAATAACAGTAGTAATATGATAATTGTAAAACGTAACTTTAATTGAAATCGAACAAAACTACTATTTGATTAAATGGTCGAATATAAAGTATTAAATCATGATTGTGTATAGTAATGATGAGGCAATGCAATTTATCAACGAAAATTATAACGTAGTAATTCAAGGGATAAGTAATTAATTATTATTTTAAGTTTCTAGAGTTTTAGCAGTGAGTATAAGTGAATAACTTATTGTTACCTTAATGATAAGAAGATTCGGCGAAGAACTAGTATGTGATCGTAATTAATCGGCAGGCTTCGGAGGACCAGAGCGTTGTTCGATGAAGATTCGGCGAAGAAACAGTGATGAACTGGCAAGATTTAAAAGTTTCGAGACAACGTCTGGATTCGGCGAATGATTCTTTCAACTGCTTAACACGTCTTGACTGTTCAGGAGTCGACTTTTTTAACTGCTTAGAAAACGACTTGACTTGGCAAGGGATCTTTTTAGACTGCGCGGCCCGCTCGGTCGCCTACCTGCATTTCGGCTCGGCGCGCGGCCGCTGCTGCGAGACAATAGAATGTCTTCTGCGCATGTCAATTAAGCGTTACGCTATGAGATTACTCGCTCTTATATGTGAGAATATAATTTAACAAAGGAATTTTATAATTATAATATAGAAAGATCATTTTATAATCGTGAAGAATATGTCATTCAAGTATACTTGGAGTTTACGAATTATTCAAGAGAATGGTAGAATTAATTTTCCGTACGCTTAATTGATTTGTTAATAATTGCAACCTCATACTAGTATTCCTTTCTTTCCAGTTTTATGTCGTAATTACTAAATACTATAATTCGCATAATCGAGGATCCAGAAATTCATTCTTGTTTTACATTATAATAATTAAAATGAGCCCATATATTTGAATGTTGGAATGCAAAATTATAAGGGTGTCGTTTGACGCGTAGATACATAATTCTTTATTAAAGAAAAGGAATTTACTCAATATTAATTCAGCCTGGTAATATATTTTAATTTAGTGCGTTAAATTTTAGTCTCAGTAAAAGGCTCGCAAGGGAAGCGCGAATCGCTTATCTCTTGCCGAGAGACTGTCGAGTGGTGTCGTGTAACATAAACTTTTCGGCACACGGCCCGCACGAAATTCTTGCCGTATGATAAGTAAAGCTTCTAGAAGGTTCTAGAAGGTATGATGAATTTCTGTCTCCTGTCGATTACTAAATTTTATAAAGGACCAAAGGGAAAGTCGTTGCAGCAGTTTAACAATAGCCGGGTTTATGACTTTCCATATGGTGTA